TTTTGGTACTGAGGATCGAACTCAGGTCCTTGCACTTGTGAGGCAGGCAGAGGAGCCACTGAGCTAAATCCCTGGCATGCTAAGTACGATCTTAATGAACAGTACTCAGCAACAATAACAACAACAAACCATTAAGTTCTTCCATGAGAAGGGTCAGGAATTGAAATCATCATTTGCTAACAAGACTGTGCTACCGAGAAGCTTTCTCTCATTACTATATTGGCTTGTGCAGTTCTTTAGTTTTCTACTCAAGATGCAAGCAATAATCTCAAAAAAAAAAAAAAAAAAAACTGTCTCCTACTTAATAGGAAAAGTGGAAGTCATGCATATAAAGGTTTTGAGCTACCTTCTCTCCCTACTGCTGTTATTCCAGGTATAGATGTTCCTTTATTTAATAGCCGTTACTGACTCTAACTGGTGGGTTTCTCCACCTGTGTTCTGGATATAGTACTTTCAGCTTCATTCCATACACTTCTATCAATAGCCCTCTCTTCTATAACCTCAGCACTTCTCCCTACTTGCAGATTTTTAGAAGTATTTAAATACAGTACAGACTTTATTGTAGGAGAAAGTAAAAGATCTACTCTTGGTCGTACATACCCATTCAAGTAAGGTGTAGGCCAGGGATTTTCAAACTTTCTTGTTTTAGGAACACTTACATACTTTAAAAGTACATGTCATAGGTTCCGGCACCTGCCTAGCAAGCTTAAAATCCTGAGTTCGATCCCTGGTACCAAAAAAAAAAAAAGTATGTCATATACTGTTATTTAAAAGTTCCAAAGATGTTTTATTTGTGTGCATTATATTCAGTGATATTTATCATATTTAAAGTTAAAACAGACATTTTAGATGGCCATCTATGTAGTTCAGCGAGAAGAGTATTTGCCTAACACGTATGAGGCTCTGGGTTTGATCCATGGCACACACACACGCTCAAAAAAAAAGAAATTTAATATACATTCAGTTTAAAATAATGTCAACATAAATGAAATTTTATGAAAATATCTATATTTTTGATAAAAGTAATGAAAAAAATGACAGAATTCTTTAATATTTAGCTTAATAGGATATCACTATACTTACATCTCCATTCAATATATTATGATGTTTTCACTTTATGGATTAATTATGTAAAGAAAGTCAAGGCTCATTTAAATACATAGCAGAAAAAATGATTTTAATAACGCAGATAATATAATTATCTTGGATGATGACATATCAAAATTCAAAAAGTGGCAGTTACTGGAAGCTTAGTTATGCTCAATCTGAAACGATGTCAATGAGTATTGGATCCTGTGTTATGTTAAAATCCACTTTTGTATTTTGAAAAGATGTTCTACCCATCTATGATTTTGTGGCATTGTGAATTGAGAGTTTGAGATAAATAGGCTCGTTGAATTATGTACCTCTTTGAAATGTACAGTGGAAAATTCCATTGCACACTCATGAGGTGAGTGAAAAAAGATAAAGGATGCTTTAATATTATTATAAAAATAGGTCTGATTTTTTCCAGTGTAGTTGGGTGATTAAGGGAGGAAGATCTTATCTCAGACTAGTATGAATCTTACCAGCTCTTCCCACCTTGAGAAAAATATTTGCCTCCATTTCTCATGCTTAAAAAATACATCACTGGGGTTGTTGTCATACTAAAATATAATAATGCATATATGCAGTAATGCATAATAATGCATGTAACATACTGGTAGTGAAATGGCATAATACATGGAACATACATGCAGTGAATGACCAATGAGAGTTGCTTTTTACATTTCCTTTAGTTTTTAATTTCCTCTTTGTGTTTTCAACTTATATCCATGTTCTTTATACTGTGTGTCCTCTTCTGGCTTCTGAAATTCAGGGAAATTGTGGCTTTAGGTCCTGACTGAAGAAAAGCTTCCAGATAGGATCTACAGCTAAGTCCAAATTAGAGGACCAAGAGATAAGCTAATTCATGCTTTTATAGGAAGTGATAGTTTGTACAACTTGGGAGGCAGTGTAAATGAGTTCCTTAATCCCAGGAATCCAAGTTTCCTAGGTGATGGATATGACTTATTAAGGAAAGGCTGTGACTAAACCTGAGCAATCACTTAAGTATTCCAAGAGCCTCCCTGAGCATCTCTGTAACAGGAAGTAGTTTTTCCTTCAGGATGCTTGAGTTGTTGCAATACGGGAAAAAGTATTGCATATTTCAGGGCCAGGGATTTAGCTCAGTGATTTTGCCGCCTGCTGCGTAAGCCCAAGGACCCGTGTTCAATCTCCGGTACCAAAAAAAAAAAAAAACAAAAGAAAAAGTATTACATATTTCAGCCTGAAAAATGATTGTACTTGGCTCTAAGTCAATACAAAAAAATAGCTGCCTTCAGCATTTTGTAAAAAGTCTTTTTAAAATTTGGTTCAAATTTTCTGTTTTGGTTACTGTTGGTGTGTAGCAAATTACCCTAAATTTGTCAGTGCAGTTTACCATACTCATTTTACTAAGCACACAGACTCTGACATCAGAAAGTCAGACAGGGCACACACACTACAAATAGCTTGATTCTTCTCCATGTAGAGGGTCCCCAGTGGGAAGGTTCAAAGACTGAGAGGAATCAACAGAGCTGGAGTCATCTGAAGGCTTCTTCATGCTCCTGTTGGGTTCAGTGGCTACATATAGGTTCTACAGGGCGTGAGCTAATGCACAACATAGCAGGCTTCCTAGACTGGCCTTACATGTCACTTAGAGCTCCAAGCTAGAGTGTTTCAGAAAACACCTAGAAACAACCTAGAAATGGCATCACCTTTCATGTCTTAGCTTCATAAGCTACACAGTGTTGCTCCTTTACTCAGCTTCTTGACACTGTCACAATCACAAGGAAAGAGGCATAGATACTACCTCTTTTTTTTTTTTGGTACCTGGGATCAAATTCATGACCTTGTGCTTTTGAGGCAGGCTCGGTGCCACTGAGCTAAATCCCCAGCCCATACACTACCTCTTGATAGGAATACTCAGAATTTTGTGTCCATTTGTTAGAAAAGGAAACTCTGTACCTTAAGGGAAAGAACAGTGTAATCCTGTCAGCTGGCTGAGACCCAGAGATGGGAAACAAGCAGAAGCAGCAAAAGGCTTCAGAGCTCAAAGAATCACAAGGAAAATTGGACAAGTTGAGGCTTAGCCTGGTTGGGCTTCAGAAAGCTCAAGAGGTCTTTGATAGAAGAGGTGGGTATGAAGACATTCAATGAGGAAGACTGGTAAGGAAAATGAGAACATATACTAGAAGTAAAGAAAATAAAATCACATAATCCAACAACAGCAAGTAACTACAGTTTACATTTTTTAATTTACTTATTTATTTATTTATTTATTTATTTTTGGTATCAGGAATCGAACTCAGGACCTTGCACCTGTGAGGCAGGTGGTTGAAACCATTGAGCTAAATCCCTGACCCTGGAATTTACATTTTGATAGGCTCCTTTTAGTGCTGTACCTGCACTATGTAAGTGATTTTTTTATGATTCATTTGTATGTAGTATGTCTGTGAAACCATGCATATAAATTAACACTGTGGTTGTACATAGAATCAGTTTTCTGTCACAACTTCCAATTCAAGAATTAGCCTACTTCTCATGGGCATTATTCTCTAAAGGAATTTACATTTCATCTATATTTTCTTCTGAAGTCAGTTAAGTTAGTCTTGATAGAGATCTCTTGTGCCTAAGTTTATCAGACCCCTGCCAGAAGCCTGCCATTCAAATTTTGTTGTTATTTCTTTCAACTTTACCTTGTGAAAGGACTTTCCAGCTCACAAAGATACAAAGTCACAGTATATTAGCTACTTTTCTGGTTATTGGGACAAAATAACCTACACCGCAAATTAAAGGAAGGTTTATTGTAGCTCACAGTTTGTAGAGGTTTCAGTCCATAGTTGGCTGACTCCAAGGCAGGGTGGCATGGCAGAGGGGCATCGCAGAGGAGAAACAGTTTACTGCAGGCAGAGGACAGCAAAAGTGAAGCAAGCCTCCTTTCCCTTTTATTCTAGCCAGTCTACCAGCCTCTTGGGTGGTGCCACCAACACCCAGGATGAGCCTTCCCACTATCCACACACAGAACTATGTTAAACCAATCAAAGGACTAATTTAGTACCACACACATAATTCCAGCATCACACACCCTAGATCCAGCCAGTTCTGAAAAGCCCCACCTATGAGTACATGAGGGTTTGGGGGGACATTTAGATACAAGCCATAATCCACTGTCTGCTCCTGTCCATAAACCTAAAAGCCAAAGCCTCAAATACAACAAAACCTCTACTCTATAAAACCAGATCCTGCCATCTTCCACCAAGGCACAATCCTAGTACAACAACAACAGCAAGGAAGATAAGGAAAATTTGCTATCAGCACAGTAATTATCAATCATCCCTTGCAGAAACTGTTAAGATGGTACTAAGTTGCCCACTTCACAACCTAGGTCACTTCTGGGTTTCTGTTTGGGACAAATAACCTGAAATCCATGTAATAGATTCCTGCTCTCACTAATATCCAATTGTCACAAGATAGAACAGGCCAACTAACAGCTCTCTGAGTTCCTGACTACTACTGAGACACCTGTTAGATTCCTAGTTCCAGCTTCCAAAAGCAGGAAGGCTCTGCAGAGCAGCTTGTTTAGGAGAAAAATTCTTCCCAGATTTGTACTGCCTGAAAAAAACTTTAGCCAAGAATTGACTTTTACTGAAAGGATGAGAAGAGCCAAAGAGCAAGAATTGAAACTAGATACAGTAAAACCTTGGACGTAAGTAACTTGTTCTGTGAGTGTTCTGCAAGGTGTGCAAGCATTTCTAATAAATTTTAATTTGATAAATGAACAAGGTCCTGCCATATAAGAATATCACATGATCATAACATCCAATGCCTCTTCCCCCCCACACCTCATATTCTCTCTCTTTCTCCCTCCCTTTATCCCAACAGAGGTTATGGAGTGATCCTCTCCCAACAGAGGTTATGGAGTGATCTCGTCTGCAGAGGAGAAGGACAAAAAGGCAGAGGAATCCCTCATTTCAAAAGAGATTAAGGAGTTGTGAAAACAGTATCAAATTTTGTAGAAAAGCCGCACTATCAGAGAACAGTATGTTGAATGAGCAGATTTGCACCAGGGAAAGGAAAATGGCATGCGCATTGAAGGCATTGGGTTTAGGAATTTAAAGTGTTGTACCAGTCTTTGGAAGTCTCTTATCAGGGCTTCCAGAGCACGACTGACAATGTGATAGGGTGCTGAGTCATGTCAACTTGTATTTACTGTGTGTGTCCTATCCCATAATTCACTCTGTTATAATTGGATGTGTGAAATACGGTCCTTCAATATGCATGAATCTTCAAGGCATTCCAGGTGAAGAAAGGTTTCTGTAGGCCATGCAGGAGGATTTGGCAGAAATGTGTCCTGGTTAGGGATTTGGGGATTTTTTTAGGGCAGCCTCCGGGGTCTTTGTTTTTCTCATCCCTGCCTCCAGAGAATGGGCCTCAGGACAAAGGGGAAGGGGGTAATGACACTTGATCCTGGTTGCCCAGGTTCAGGTGAGTGGAAGGGAAGTTGTCCATTGTATAGTGTGATAATTTGATATGAATGTATACAATGTGTGATGATCAAATCAGGTGGCTAATACTTCTATTTCCTACATTTTAAAAATTTTGGACTAACACATAGTACAGTAATTGTACATATTGATGAAGTACAGTAGGATATTTCAGTGCATGTGTTCAATATGTATTAATGAAATTTGGGTAATTAATGTTTCTACCAGGTTAATTAATGTATCATTACTTTGTGTATTTTGAAGGTTCTTCTAGTTATTAAAAAAATATGTAAAGACTACTATAGAATACTAGAACTTAATACTTCTATCTAACTATATTTTGGTGTCAGTTATGAAACCTCCTTCTACTTTCATCCCTCACTGTATTTAACTTCTAGCAGTCACTATTCCACCTTTAGATCAATGTTTTTTGGTACACACATGTGCGACTTCTGGGCATATGTCAAAAGAGATCTCAGCATATCAGAGAATCAACATACCATATGAAATCAGTGCTTTCAAAACCTTTATGCTCATATTTATTGCTGCACTATGCATAACTAAGATATAGAATCAACCTAGATACCCATCAATGGATGAATGAAGAAATAACAAAATATATAACAAAGTATCCAGCAATAGCTGGATATCAAAAATGATATGTTATCATTTGCTGCAAAATGGAGGAATTCACAGCCATGACATAGGGACATCCATAGAGATGGGGAACAGGCAGAACCCTGGACCCTTACCTGCTACTCATTAACAACATGATTTGTGTTTTCTTCTGAAACAGTCAGGGACTTAAAAGCTCTTTTCACTATGAACCATGACTCTGCACTTAGACCTACAGATGCCCAATAGAAAACTAAAAGTAAAACAAAGCTCAACCTTCATTTTGTACCCTTTTTACTGTAAATCTTAGGCCAGGTCTCTTCTCAGCTGTACATAGGGAAATGCTGATCATTTAGGAAGGGCCCTCTATCTAGGAGCTGGCCAGAAAGGGTTTATTAGTCCCATATTTATATGATCTCATCTCCTTTCAAAATTGAGAACACCAAGATAAGAGGTTTTCAGGGACATTCAACTGCACCCAGAAGTCTCCAGCCATTGTCCTAAAACTGTGATAACCAAATTCCAGGAAAGGGAGAACCTCACATGACTGAAGCCACCACAGAGACAGTTCTTCCCTGGAAATGGAACCATCTCCCAGCCATGAGAATTTCAGAGCTACAACACCAGGACTCAGATAATGATTAACTTAATCCAAGCCCATCAGATAATAAGTTGGCTTCCCACCTTTTCAGGTGAGCCAGCCTAAACCTCTGATCAGTGTGCCTCCCTCCAGCTACTTAAACTGGAATTCTTTCCTATCTTTTCTCCAACTTTTCAATTAAAGCTTTTTGTCTATAAATTTGTGCTTTAGTTTTAGTTTCTATTTCTTCTAAAGCAAGGACCCATGCTAGCCAGTAACACAACTAGAGAACATTGAGTGAAATAAATTAGACACAGAAAGACAAATACTCCATGTTCTGTCTCATACGTGTATGAAAATATTTTACATAGAGGGACCATGGCACCTCTTTGAGGAGGTGACCTTTGAAGAAGTAAGCTATCTTAAAATAGGGGAAGAATAATCTAGGGCCCTTTAGGGAAACAGCTTGTTTAATGCATGAGGGTAAATGGAAAGCCACTGGAATTTTCAAGGGGAATCAACTTAATTTCGTAAAACCCTGTAAGTGGATTTCAGATAAGTGGGTGAGTGTGGTGAGTCTTCCAAATGAGTCATAGAGTTTCTTGTATAAACTGAGTTTTGCAGTTTAAGGAGTGGGGATACATTCCTAAAAGATGATTTCCAAAACTATATTAGCAAAAGAGGTTGTGGGAAATCCATCTTACTGCCAGCCATTCAGATTTATATGTTCACCACTGACCAAATCAAAGGGGCTCATTTATTTTGTAGAAAAGTAGAAAGCTTTATTAAAAGCTTGTTCTGAGAGAGACTTTGTCTCAAACCCATTATACTATATTATTTATAGTAAAAAATGGAGAAGAGGAAGATCACTATGAATAATATACATCTCTAAGCTTGTTTTATGGCTTCTAGCCATCTAACACTCTTCCTTTCCTGTGGAAAGGAAACTGGGCCCCAACCTCCTGGGGCCAGCACCCGCGTATTCTGTTACTTCATCTAGGTTGAGGAGAGGAGGAGGTATTTTTTATGTACTTAGCAAGAGGAAGTTTGGAGAAATTGCTTATTTGTAAAAAGAAACCTAATTTCTAAAGTCTCACTTTGCCATGCAGGTCATACTCTCACCAGTCTCACCACTATTGAGTTCTTTCCATAAGTAAATATCTTGTTAAAAATGAATATGCAGACAGGTGTGGTGACGCATATCTGTAATCTTAACACTCTGAAAGGCCAAAGAAGGAGGACTACAAGTTCAAGCCCAGTCTAGATGACTTAAACAGATCTTGTCTAAAAATGGGTGAGGTGCTAGGGATGTAGTTCATTGTGAAGGCCTGGGGTTCAATTTCCAGTACATGTTTGAAAATGATTTAAAAGGGCAGTTATGTTTGTTAATGATTTATGATGTCTAAAAACTGAATATGTGACTTATCCATAGATAGCATTGTGATGGAAAAAAAAATAACTTCCAACCTGCTAGATGTCATATGTGCCAAGTTTGTATAGCCTGAATACCAAAGAATTAATTCCAAGGGACAATGGTTGTTACAAGTAGGAAAGGTTTATTGAGAGAAAGCTCCTGAGAGGGACGAGAGGCATCCCAAAAGGGATTGCCACAGAGGCTACTTCTCCAAGAATGTTTTATAGAGCAAAATCACAATGTGGACAGAATATGGGTCAAAGTACAATCAACCAATAAGATTACAAATATAGACACTTAGCTAATAATGATCTAATGGAAAAGTAAGGCACAGAGCAAGTGTATATGGCTAGTATCATTAATTTTAGCTTATCTACAACTTATAACACAGAACAAAAACAGTTTTGGAGAAGGATGGGTCCAAATGTTCTAGTCATCCACCTGGATGTCTGATGCCTATCTGGATTTACTGGATCAGGTGATTCTAAGTACAATATAATCTCAAATTGCTGTTACCATTAGGGAAGCATGCAAGCCTGACTACTGTGTGTTCATCTTGAGGACTAACCTTCTTCAGATGCACCTCCAGCCACAGTTTTAATCTGTTCTCATCTTCTGGACTGACTCCCTTGGGGGCCCATCCCTGTCTGACTGCCTGTTAATTTCTATCTAGCTTAGCTATCTATAATATTCTCCCCTCTGAAGAGGTATCCCTAACTGCCATTAGGGCATAATTGACAAAGAACATTTTGGCTACTTCCAGCTGGAGAGGGTCGTAGTCATAGTTGGCAGTCAGCAATACTCCTCTTAGGGTCTATATAGAGGCCCTCAATTGATATCAGACACTCTCATCTTGGGTAGATGTATAGCTTTAAATCTAGAGGAGATTTTAAAAATCCTCCAAAACCAGAAAACCAGTTAAGTATGCATAGGCCAGATTATAAGATCAATAAGTATTACTAATATGGCCAACAAATGTTTCTACTGGGAAGAGCCAGTGATGACTTCCTACAAACAGGGTAAGAAAAAAGTTCAGGGGCTTCACAATCTGACATGACATTACCTTCCATCTAACATCTTGAATAGCCACTGAGATATTAGCAGAAGGATCAGGAATTTACACACAGCATTCAGTTTTTTATTGCACAGGTTCCACCTTGTGCTGCTGTTAAGATGTCTAAAGCCATCCAATTTTGGAGGACAGCTCTCATTAATGGGACTTGTTCATTTAGAAGAGACATTCCAGTCAAGATTTCATTTACGGCTCATTGAGTATAGTTAGTCAAGCCCTCAGTGTGTCGCATGATATCCTCTAATTTCAGAGAAGGGACAATGATAATAGCCAAATGATCATACTAGTGAAACACATTCCTAAACCATTAATGTTGAAGATGGAGTAAATTTGAGACTTGATATTTTTGATATTCCTTCCTTGTAGTCATGCAAATCCCAGCATGCATCTCCCTATCCACCTAGGGGATAGACAGGGCCATAGATTGATTCTGCAGGAACCAATCTAATTGGGGCTCCCCATCTAATTCCAGGGTGATTAAACCAGTCTGTTGCAAGCAAGTCCTCAACCTGCAAAGTTACTATATTTGTACGTTGTTTACAGTGTCCACTCAAGTATTTAATAGAACTAGGCCAATAGGAGTAAAAGGAATTTCTTTGCCCCCAACATAGAGGGCCTACTAAGACATCCTGCAATGCTAGTAAACTACATATAGTCATCCCATATGTGAAAGTAGCCATTTTTATATCTATGATTTTTTGACTCTCATCACAGGTTCTTTACTTTAAATAGGGGTTCTGCTGCAGCCCATAGAGAGGCTTCAGTGACACTGTTAGAAAAAATCTAATTATGTCTAGGGTTATGAAGAGTGGAATTTATAGGATACTCAATTACCTTGTAATGATGGGCTGTACTATGAACTGCTGAGCTTTCTCATGTCTCATGAATGGAGTCTTGTAACTTATTCCAGTCATCTCCTTGAATGGGGATACCCACCAAATTGTCCTGATGCTCTGGACAAGTGGAGCAGTCCACATATTCAATAAGATGTTTGTTGTAATGACTCTGCATATTACTGTGCCCACATAGAAAGCAACTGGACTTTCCTCCAACTGTTGTGAAAATAATTAGTAAAAGGGCTAAGGATAACATGTTAGATTACTTATCTGGAGGTGCCAATTTCTTTTTGAACAAGAACTTTAAGTCTTCTATGAGTTACAGCAGTTTCCAGGTGGTTGTTCACACTCAGAAATGGTCTCTGGCTTTCACTGACTCCTGTGAGGGCGCACCCCTGTCTGACTGCCTATTAATTTCTGTCTAACTTAGTTGTCTATAGTAACATGATTACCCACATTACTTTTTGGATGTTTAAATTTTGTTTTATTATCTGTTTAAAAAATTCTTTATGAAAATTGTAATAGTGTTTTTGTGATTGGAGCTTGCCCATATGGTCACATATTTAGACTAGCCCAAAGTATCCTTGAACTCAAAAAAATATAAATAGGTTCTAGTTCATAAAGAGAACATAAAACTAGTTACACTAGACATGTGGGAATATGGTAACTACACATTTTTTCCCCATTTCACTTACCACTCAGACTTTGAGGATATTTCCGTAAGTTTGTCTGTGACTCAGCTTTAGTTTCAGATGACTTAATGCTTTCATTTAATCAAAGGAGAGGAACATGATTATTTAACAAATCCATGATCCCCAGTTAGGATGCCA